AGTGCAGGATGAACCGTCTACTACAGGGTCCGACTCTAAAATCTGATACGCTGAAGGTCACTGATACAGAAATAATTAAGAATTAAGCACATGCTGACGCCACAGTTAACCCTAATATTTGAAAATTGAAAAAGCGGCTTGTGTGGGCAGCAACCACTGGGTCCAGGAACCAGGCTTTTTTAACGATATCCTGCTACCTAAATGAAATTAGTAGTAACTGTATTGCAATATATTCTGGAATTCGATAACAGACTCCGACGTAAAGAAAAACGAAATGACTGGAATTTGCTGTACACACTTGCGGGGGTGGGTCCATAAAGTGGAAGCGCATGAGATCTCGAACGCCCAGTGACTTGAGAAGAAGCACTACGTTTGCCAAATTGGTGCGTTGGATTTCTGGCACAGTGGAAGTTAACATCTCCTCTTCGAACTGGCCAATGGTGTAGAGACGGTAACTGACGCTAAAGGGAAATGAGGACCAAGATGTACGATTGTAGTGCGCCAACTGAGGCGGAAAGCTCAAAAATATCTCAGACTGGCTAGTGTGGTATGTTAACATATTTATACTTCGAGGTTTAAAAGCAAAATACAATGAAAGTGGCAAAGTAGATTAAGTGTCGGTCTAAAATACCCTACAACGCAGTGCCGTTACCTTACAGGAGTTTCAGTAATGTAGAAAATCAACACCCGCGTCGGTGAATGGGCAGAGATTTGCTTCGACTTAGACAGGGAAACAGGCTGCTTCGCTAGATCACACTCAGGAGGCATATTAATGTGAGAAACCTCCCCATTAGTCCTATTAGTTGGCATAAATTGTTGCAGCAGAAAAAGTTATCAAAAAGCATAATAAATATTCTCAACTGGAAAAATTCGAATTTAAGTAAATAAAACTGTTTTTTTCAGGCTTGAAAACAAACTCTTGAAAAAGCGTCAGCTAAGAACAGTTTATAACACATACCGACTCCACTTAAGAAGGCGAAAAATACATAATCAACAAAAGAAGATGGCCGAGGAGATGATGGCGAAAAGAGTTTAAAAATGGTGGAAAGATTTCGAATGCAAACATAGTTACCAATCCGGTTAAGAGCTTGAAACACAAAAGGTCCAGCAGTCATATTTCGAAATGCGTAGCGGAAACCTACCCAGGGCCGGTACGGCCAGCTCTGCCGGCTCTTTGGTTCGCGTTGGCCTGACTGATGGGGAAAAGTTGTAGTGCGTCCATACCGATCTTTGGGTTGAAAACCTTGAGCTTGCAGTAGCCCGCATCAATCACATATCGAATACCATCGACTAAAAGGAGTGAAGAAGCAGAAAAACAAATTATAAAGCATAATTCAGACTTTTCAACATAAAAAAATGAGGCAAAGTACGCAAATATTTGAAAGAGGTCACTGGATTTCACATGTACTTCGGAGAGCTCTGAGTATGGATACGAATGTTCAAGTTCCAGGTGTATGCATAAGGAAGAAAACTAACCGAGCAACGGGGCAATTTGTTTATTAGGCTGAGATTTCAAAATAGTGCAGGGGCCTATCGTCAACAGCGACAAAATAAGCCACTTCTATAGGGGTTACGAGGCAATCGGTACAACCTCCGAGGCTCAGGCTTTAATAATAGATCGACTTGTCTTTTTTTCTGGCGTGGACGATTATCTTGACGGCTGCGCAGTTTAACTAGTGGTCGGTTTCATAGGTCTAGACAGCCACTTGCGATTATTCGTCGCCCCGTAGCCCAGCCAGCTTATGCTGGTGCATGCATGATCCCTGCAGTGGCGCGGTGACTAACAAAACTAAACTGTCCGTCTTCGCGTGCCATGCACAACGAACTAGGATTTCAAAAAAACAGCAAAGCGGGGCGGATCATACCCGAACTGAGTATAAGCGTCATAGAGGTCACATTAAGAAGCCTGACTCCCCGTGCTTTAAGGGGGACCTAATTATTTGTTCAGTCGGTAGCCTTCTAATTCGTGGCTTTTAGCCCACCGTGATAGGCTAGAAGCGCGCCAGATTGTTTATAGTGAGAAATAGGTGCTGAGAGTCCACTTTTCACATGCACCAGTCAACTGTCCGAGGCGGACTCTGAGAACGGGTGCAGTGGCTGATGCAACTAAACGGGCCGTCCACGCCTGCAACGCACGACTCCCCCTTCCACCCAAAAAGAACACGCATTTGCACACCACCCAAAGACCATCACGTCTGTCTTTTGCAAAAACCATGCGATTTACTGTCCCATTGCCGACAGGAACATGCCCTTTGGTATGTTCGGGTGTAGGAACTGGAGAACAGGTCGTGTGGCATATGCAGACGGGCTGTTCAGCTTAGCCAGCTACTGCGTCCAATTCCATTATTGACTGGCACCGAGGCTCGGATAGTCTAGTGCATAGGTGTGGGAGAAGAGTGCGATGGACATTACGAGAGCCCGCTCCACTTTGAACTGGTATTGTGCCCGCTTCGTAGAGCACGTGGTAGACGTTGTTGTTTGTGACGTTCCAACTGTCATGATTGCGATCATGCCTGATTAAAATAATTTAGATGGTGTCGCGCAGGCGTGACAGTCAGTCACAATGTTTCCGCGGCAGACTACTTTCGCCAACGTATTTTGTATAACTTCTAAGCAAGCGCACTAACAAACCAGGAGTAACGTAGGTCCCCGTCCAGAACGCCAAGTACAGCAGGTCGAAAGCATTCGCCATTTAGAATCAAGGCATGACATGTGTTGTGGACACTCATCTTACCTGTGAGTGAAGTTTCAGCAATGTTGGTCGCAACAACACACTTTCGGATGCCATTCTCTGCTTTCTGGAATATTTTGGCCTGAAGATCACTAGGCAGTTGGGAGTAAATTGGGAGAACGGAGAGCGGTGGAGCCTCCTCCAAGTTCCCGAGTCGTTCTGTATGAAAGAAAATGGGACGGAATGCAACGATGAGGAGGTACAAATAAACAGGCCCGACTTTGGTGCGATAATAAGAGTCAGAAAAAAAAACAGGACAAGGGACTCACCGGCAATCAGTTCGCAGGTTACTTCAATGTCTTCTTGACCAGTCATGAATATCAGAATATCGCCTATCGAAAACAAAATTAAAAAACATGTAACTCAGACACTGATGAAAATAGACATGCTACCGCGAGATTTGAGGTCTGCTCAAACCAGTGTGAAGATAACTGAACACAAAATGGTAGCATTTCAGCCGATGGAGTAATGGTGTGCCTACCAATTCTCCTTAAATTTAGTGCATGAAGTCGCATATATATAGGCAGTGGGCGATAGATTGCAAGAAAACGTTCAAATAAAATTCTTCTGCCTGTTTCCCTATTCAAAGGAGCAAGTCGACGTAATGAGAAAACAGCGGATAAAGCAAGCAAACAGCAGTTTCCAGAACTGACCTTCCGGAGCACCTAGATGTACCTGGATGGACTGCTTGACAGCAGCATCCACGTAGTCCATGACAGGAGCCTTGCTGAACTGAATATCCACAGGAAACGTGCGCCCAGGTATATGGAAGGTTGGACAGTCACCGAAAAATTGTGAGAACTTTTCAGCATCCATAGTGGCCGAAGTAATTATTAGTTTTAGGTCGTTACGGCGGCTGACAATCTGGATGAATAGAACGAGAAAGATTAAGGTAAACAACCCCAGAAAACGTAGTAGAGTTGAAGTTTTTTAAAAAAAACTGTATTGTAAGTCATGGCGGCAGTGGCGAAGTAGGTGGACTTTTGAGTGTGTAAAGGTTGTCGTTTATCCAGTTAAAGTAAGCAAAATACACACCCCTTATATTTTATAATCGAATCTAGAGTCTTCGCAGCGGTAATAATACAAAATAAATATCGACGAAGACGTAGGTGGCCTATCCGACCACATCTTAGCCACACCTTTGAATAATTTGTGATTCAGACCCAAACTTTGGACGTTTAGATGCTAATTACAACACTCTACACTAAACCAAGAACCGTTATTCCGTCGGTTGTGATCGGGAAGCTGCACCGGTGTGGTT